ATAAAAATAATAGACATTAGTAATTATTCTCCCAAGACACATTTCTTCACAGTTATCATTCAACATTTTTATCTTATGTGCTACTATTATATATCTATTATAATTACGACAGCTTACTTTATTTAACAACGCTGCTTCGTCTACAAAGGTTATTATATGACTATTTTGGACAAGGCGCATTTTTTCAGGAATCTGCTATACAGGAACATATTTTATCAAACAAAAGGCCTAATTGTGAAGTTCGTGTTTGTATGTATGTTTTAACATAAAGGTGCGTACGTATGAATTTCGTGCTTAAAACAAGATGGACACAGATGTGAACGAGTACCAACTATTGAAAACAATAATAAATTAAGTACTGTACGTTGTTCACAACTTTCGGAAGGAGATACTGTTGCCGTCTTCAAGGTACAAGTTGTGAAGTCTGAACCAATCAGAACAAGTCAAGTCTTCGAGAGGCTACTTGTAGTATTCGCTTGAGATTTTCACAAATTCATAAGCTCACAATTTATATTATTGTTGTGAAGATCAAGTGTTTGTTTCGTTTTACAAAAGCGAATCTTTGGATTTTGCACAGACAAACTACAGATTACGGTTTCCTTCTGGGTTTTGGAGCCGTGTAGACTCGTTGCTAAATGTCAAAGTTTCAGAAAAATAAAGTTTCCATCTTTAGCCGTGGAGACAACATGTTTCTCCGAGACGCTGACATCTACGAGATTTCAAATAAAGATTTGGTTGTTAACATGATTAACCAGTTCAAACCAGACGCTTATAACGATGGTCCTCTAGTGCGTAAGCAATGTCACATTCAAACCAGTCTGTCGGTCCGTTAGGATATGCTTGCAGCCGGAAAATTTACCGAAGAGGCAAGTTTTTGCTAACGTAACATTGAATATCAATATTTGATAAATGTAATTCATTTCACGTGTAGGTGTACGTAATAAGCTTCGTAGTCTTTATATCTACCATACTCTGAGAGCAATTTACTGACTAAAACATAAATATGTACTTTCCTAACCTTGAGCTACATAGGCATTTTTCGATTCCGCAAAATAAATAATGATATCAAAAGAAACGAGGTTGTAAATGTAGGCAATTTGTAATGTAAATTTCATTTCGCAATTTCGCAGCCTCATATTTCCCTCTCTCTCTCGGAATGACAAGTCAACATTCACCGCGTGTGATGATTCCGTTTAAATAAATGTCGTATAACAGAATTTATTACTACAATGATAGCAATCCACGACAAACCGACTACAATGCATTCCCGATTATTTATTATCAAAATCATATCCCATTATAATCAACATAATAAATCTCATTATTTTTATGAAATACAAGTCAATGTTGACATTTCAGTTTCTCACTTCAACGTTCTGGGATGTTGCGTCGAGTCTTCTGATAGATAATTACCGACGTTTTCGAGACGCTTACTGTCTCATTCATCAGAACAATGAGGTAGGCTTTAAGCCCCTGTGCGAACATGCACCAGACCACACGTCGTAACATCCCAGAGAATAAAAATCTTCATGACAGGCCAATGTTTGTGAGATAGGTAGTAGAGTAACAACATTGAACCAGGTGAGCAGTCGAGGTGTGAGGCTTTTGTATATCTCCTGATGGAGCGTTTAGCCTCAGGTCCCGGGCCACCAATAAATCAAACGAAACCCTCCTTTCCCCTCCAAGTAGATGCCGGGTGAAAAACCTGACAGCGGGAATTTGTAAGCACATCAGGGAATGTGTCGAACAAAGCGGGCCGCCAGTTCTGAAACCCCACAGGGTGTTCTTCTAGATAACAATACAAGTTGAGTTAGTTTGGCTATTGGATTGGTTAGGGTGTGAGGTGGAGGGGGTGTGGAGTTGTATTAGCTGTCTTCCCCTCCCTCCCGTCCCCCTTCCTTAAGTCAAGAATGAAACCTACTGCTCTTTGTGGATGAATTTGAAAACACAACCTAGAAACAAGTCCTTCGATAATAAACAAGATTCTATATCTGCTACTACAGCTTGAACAAAAGCCGGTGTAAGTACCTGGGTGACAATGACGTATTCCAGAAAAGATTTTTGTGTCCAATGTGACAATTCTCCGTTTTCAGCTCATAGCAAAATATAAAAGTGTCCTGGCAGCTAAATGAAAGTGTTGAAAAAGATGTAAGATTTGAGGTTTTCGCGGATGTGAGTATGAAGATTTCTGTCTTCTGGGTTGTTGCGCCGTCATCAGGGCGATGAATTCATCGCCCTGATGACGGAGGCAGTATGACCTCTGAAACGTTGGTAAACATCGACCAGACTACACAGCGCAACAACCCAGAAGACGGAAATCTTCGTTGAAAAAGATATTTGGACTAGAGATAAGAATAATGAATGGGATTAGTATGTATTTTTGTAAATTGTACTGATCTAATTTTATTAGTGTGATTAAATCAGTGGCCAATTCCATAAACGACAAAAGGCAATTAACATAAAGCCTCAAAAAGATTTTTGGTTCTCACGGCTGTGAGTGTGGAGACGGCAGAAAGCTTGCCGATGTTTCCGAAGTACTTTTTGCCTCTATCATCAGGGCGACGAGTAATCCGTGCGCGAGAAATGATATTTAAAATACTGAAACCGATCAGACGAACTAGAACCGGATCAGGTGACAGCGAAACAGCCAATGGGAGCCTTTGAACCCGATGCACTGAACAACTACCAACTTTACAACAAATATAGTCTCAAGCAAACACAAAATTATCATAGTAATAATATATGTATAACATTTCAGTCTGACGTAGTCATAATAATTTCAGTAGGTGGATCAGTGATGCATTTCGTTTGTATCTCAGCTGTACACTGGGCTATCCACATCAACAGCAAGTTGGCGGACTGCCTATACTAGGTCCATAACCGACAAAGCAGCTATCATTAAAAATCTGTTCGGCGCTGAAGAAGGCTTATTTAGGCTTATGTTATGCTAATCACATATTCCTTACTTAACTTCGAGTCACTCCTGTTTGAATATAAGCAGGTTTAGAAGCAGACGTCTCGTCGTGCCATCCACTCACGAAAAGGTACAGAATGGAAGGTTAAAAAGAACAAAAACTATAAACAAAAAAAGAGTAAAAGTATTAGGTAAACTTTTACTTAAGCCGATGTAGACTTGTGTTTATTATCTTTCAACTGCCGCTTATATACTTCATAAATAAAAATAAACTAATTAATTGCGAAGGTTGGACCAGGTTTAGTCGTTACTTGATCGTAACAGCAGAAGATTTAAAACATTCGCAAATCATGGAACGTGACAACCGAGTTCAATAAGTTGACTGACTCTCAGATTATATTGTTTTAATTTTGTATAATGCATGAGACGCAGGCTAATGATCGAAGCGTTAGAGGCAAATGGTAAGGATCTGGAAGGATGTAATCATGACCTGGAGTAACTGACCTAATTTAATTTTAGTTTATATAGATCCAATCTGCCTTGCAAAAATCTCAAATCGATTTAATCGATGTTTAAAAACGACTCGTAACTCTTTATAAATCCTAGTGGCAACTACGTAAACCACCTGCTTTATCAATCAGTAACTCTCGCAGTTATATTTATGGGTTTTGCATGATTCTCTGTGTAAACAGGGGTTATATACTTAAACAGTGTTAAAATTTTGATCTTCGTAATGGTGAAGTGCGGTGTTTTCTCTGCGGTACGGACTGAATTCTTAAGTATTATTTTGACGAGTTTCGGTTTCAAAGGGTTAATATAATAAATTAATTTAATGTTACACAATAAATATAATATAAATAACGGGATGCATTAATGCCTACAACTTATAAGAAATTTTTTTCGATACCGTGAATAGGTTATTGAAGTGAACAAAAGAATAAATACTTTCTTGCCATGTGCAGTATAATATGTGTAATAATATCTCCTTAATGTACAAATTATGAAGTTCCTGATCCGGTCTATGCAATTTTCTCCAGCTTTTTATTAAATTTCGTTTAGTTTACTTCTTCATCAGTTTCTGAAACTTATGCCTCAAGCATTTAAATTTCCCTTGAAATCGCATTTATTCGTCTTCGTCTTCATGTCAGTATTTCCAACGAGGCTGGCCGTCTCTCTAAAGAGGTTTAAATTATGTGGGTTACTTATTAATGTGAACTCACTTTGCCATTCTAGCGTTACGGAACGCAAATTTTCCATTACACTATTCCATTATACGCAGGAAGTGAACCCATAATCAAAAATCTAAAAACTCTTCCGTGACCGAAATACAGATATTTTCATATCACGATTTGCATTAAGAGAAACTTGAAGGCGTCAGTATGTGTCTGTTAACAAACGTATTATTTTCGTCAACAGATGTAAATGAGAAAATTAAACCTCAATAATCAATTAATGTTCTGGTCTGATGGACCCAGAAGCTCATTACTTAATTCACAAACGCCTGCCGAATCTGAAGAGAAGTGGCAACTTGAAGACTCAAACGTCCATAAGAGGATGATATTAAAATGGATCAAAAATAAGTAGTGTGTGGCTGTGTGGGATGGATTCACCTGCCTCAAAATAATGTGCATTGAAGGGTTCTTGTGAAGTGGGGGAACTTATTTACCAGTTGAGCAACTTTGTGATTTTAATAATTTTTTATCAAACGTTGCGCCACGGTTCACAGTTTGGGATACACAATCTCGTGAAAAGGGATACATAATTATGAATAGCATCTCTCTGTGATGGGGAGGGGGGGAGGAAAGAAACGGCGAACAGTAGTCGAAGATTTACGATGAACGCAGCAATTAAATATAAAGAAGAACGGCCTCTTCTCTTTTTTATATTACAAGGGGCAAGGATGAGTTAGTTGTATTGGGCCATCCTTTGCCTTGAATTCAACAGCCGAACTGGACCGAAAGATTTAGATTCATCTTAGCCACGACTGTTGATGTACAGGCAGACGAATTACTAGTATGAAAGTGGTCTCGGATAATGCATCAACTATTAATGAATTTCTCATAATGCATCTTCGTTCTGTTCGCAGGTGGATGGCACGGGAACGGACGACCAGGAACACTGTTCAGCAAGATCTGAAATCGGTTCTTCGAGAAGAGTCGCTTAGACTTGTGTCACAGAGGAAATTTTGTCATAAAATACGCTGGTTCAAGACAATATCAAAAGGATACCTAATAAAATTGTAGTGTATTGCTTCTCATATGTTAATATTTATAATCTAAATTAAGCAATATATAGTATATTAGATAAACAGATCAAATACACGTAAAGGACAAAATGTAAGGTTATACTTCTTCGCCGTCACTTCGCACACCTGTGCCAGTTGAATTATACTTCTTACACTCGTTGTTCACTAATGTTACTACTTTCTAAGCAAAAAGTTTTGATTAGAATCTAATCATTCTTTAATGTCTGTCCGATATCTGGCAGTAGTGTCAGCTGTTTCAAGCGTAGTGACGAGGTTTTATGTTTAGGGAATGGAGGGGCGGAGGTGTAAGCTGCTATCTGGTTGGAAAGTTTTAATATACTGTTTTAAATATTAGGCAGTTGTTGGCAATATCTGAATAATTTTTTCACTGATAGCAAATATTGAATATATTTTTTAAAATATTTTAGAATACGCGTGAAAGGTACAATAAACATAAATACAATTTTTTTATTACACTCATCTAACCAAAGTACTAAAAAATATTACAGAAAATATACCGTACAGAAATATACATAACAAAAAGCAGAGAATCATCATGTCAACTTCTGAAGAATATTTATTAAAATTTAAATACTTTAAATTTCGTATCTTGTTTATTGAATATTGTTATTATTATTATTATTTGCTAATATTTGTATGGCAGTGCTGAAACTTCTGAACAAAGAGTGTAATGAACCTGAAGGTGATGGGATTCTAATCGAAACACGTTGCTCAGAAAATACTGACATCAATGATCAGCTTTCGTAAACACGATGAAATAATGTAATAAGTGTAGCGCGTGAATCAACTGACAAGGGTTTTGAACTGACGGTTAAAAAACAAAATACAAATCGAACAATACAGAAGTGAAGTGGAAGGAATTCCATGCATCTGCCATAGGTTAGTCCTTTAGTGAGGATAAATTATCTTAAACTCTTGTTAAATATTTTTCATTTAACATTGCTTGAAGTTTAGAGTAGGATACTTTATGGCTCATAATTCAATCTCAAATTACGCATTTATCCTATATAAAATGAAGTGCAATTTTCTTAAAATGTGATAAACTATACAAAATATAATTAAGTTAGACACTAATGTTGAAAATAGCTTATTAGCTATTGCAGTAATTCTAGCACAACAATCTTCAGTTGAAGTTAACACAAGATTGAGTGTGTTTGCAACTTCTGTTACAAAAATGAGACTCCATTAAAAACATGTGTTCTGTTGAGTTCTATTTGTCTTTCGTGTAAACCTTTATGCACAAAAGAAACTTCTTCCCCTTATACATTTCTAATGACATATTTACAAGCACTTTACTGGAAAAAGTATCCGTATATTTATGAAAAATATACAATTACAAACAACTAACTCCGTGGAGTCTAATCCACAACCACAATGTGTGTGGGCTGCCATCTTCTGTGTTGTATCTATGTTACAAGTACCATAAACATTTAATTAATTCACAGAAGTAAACATTCTAACCTGAGGATGTAGACAATACGATCCTCCGAAACAGTAAATGCTACCGTTTCAGGATGTCGGCATCTTCATAACTTAAGTGTTTCTCCGAAACGTTTGCGTTTATCGGCGAGTCTACAAGAGGCTGAAACCCAGAAGAACACGATCAATAATAATAATTCAGTTCAATTTAACGTGACAATTCAACAGATACATATCAAATTGCAGAGTCAGTACAAAAAGATAAAATAATAATAAATCAATTCTTTATTATTAGTGTGCTGTATCAACAGACAGAAGGCCAATTAACAAAATTCATTCTTAAATAATAATAATTAAATAATAATAATAATATTAATAATAATGCACTTTCTTCTTACACACGTACGTATGGTTAATATTATGGTGGACAACTGTCAAGTCACAGATGCTATCCGAAGCAAAATTTTATTCGTGGGTTAAACATTCTCGAAAAGTGAAAATCTAAGGATTATCTGTAGGTTGTAGTCTTTTGTTTGAGCTGTGTCTGTAATTTGCCACTTGTCTGTTGATGCAAGAGAGTAAAATAAATAATTGAGTTAGATTAACGGACATAAAGACAGGCCCGAACCAGGCTAGATAAACTTAGACATATACACCAAAAGATTGCACTAAAGCTGTCAGAACGCGCAGAGGCTGGAATGGGCGAAGCTACAAGTATTCTTGCTACCGACTGTAGGGCCCGCTGCCTTGTGTGAAGATCCCATCATCAGAAATCCAACCAACAACAAAAGTACAAAGTTAAGGATCGTGATTGGGGGTTTAAGGTGGCCCTTAATTGCTGTTTACCGACCATGCGCGTTTGATCTTGAAGCTGGGAGCCCTCGAGGTACTCGGGCTAGTGTCCTACCTGCGTGTTGCTGTTATTATTTACAAAGCCGACATCAGCATTTGCTAGTACTAAAACAGATGCATGCTACCATGGCGTTCAATGTAGACGGTGGGCGAAGGCAACAAATTTCAAAATATGTTTCCCAATAGACCCTTATATCAAGAATTAGTTTCAGCGTGTTTAATTCTTTAAGAAGATTCTTTATGGTAATTGATCTTCAGCAGTTATTTACAATATTTCGTTAAGAATCTACTATGAAATTAAGATCAAGTTTTGGTCTGTGTTGTTGGCCTTAATTTATCAGAAGGAAACAAATATGTCATGAACAATGCCAACAAAATTCAATTAGATGTTAGTAAAAAGGTTGTTTTTAAACACAAAAGCTCAGAGAAAGTAGTACAGTGTACAAATGATATTTAGTAGACCTCAAGCTACAAACCTTAACTTGTATATAACGAGACAATTACAAGAGGTTAAGCTAACGGCATTAAGCACAGGCCTTCTTAAAAAGCCGAGAGCCGCTCAGTTAGAAACGCCCCAACTTTTACGTAACACAAAGATTCATTATCGTGTTCACAAAAGCCCGCCACCTTTCCGTACCCTGAACCATACGAATTCAATCGACATCCTCCAAAAACTGTTTTTTAATCCACTTAAATATTATCCTCCAATCTACACCTAAGTCTCCCAAGCGGTTTCTTCCCTTCGGGATTTCCAATCAAAATTTCGTATGCATTTCTTATCTCCCACATGTCCCTCTTCCTCCTCGATTTTATCATCTTAATATTATGTGCAGTTTATCATTCCTCTTACGTCCGAATATTCTTCCAAGCACCTTTTTTTTAAACGGATTAAAGTCACATTTATCTTAAAGTCAGCAGCAAATTACGTATAGCGAAGAAGGTCTACACGTCATTACATTTCATGCGACATTTTTACATAAATGCATTCCATTCTGTACCAGCTTGTTTTATCCTGGCGGTGTTTGTATTAATGGGGAAAGAACACAAAATGCCCGTCGGCTGTGTAATCATAACACACACACACCTGAAAATGGCAATTAGCATAACGAATGTGCATGGCAATATCTCTGCCAAAGACGTGCAAGAACACACAAAGCACACTTGTGACGTGTTTCGTGATTACGAAAACAGCGCATTATCTCGTGATGCGTGTTCCTTGCGACTGAAAATGCGTTGACCGGAGTGAGATAACTGCACTGCGATGTATTATTCAAATAAATCGTTTACATCTGAGGCGGTCGTGTGAGCACAAATGCCCGTCGATTAAAAATGTGTTTCTCCACCTTTCTGGTTCCGCGGAAACCCTTCCCACAAAATTATTTAAAACATTTTGATTAGACAGAATATAGATTAACTGAAATATCGATAAAAGGCCTTCTGTTTATTAGATATGTTTTTTACTCTAATTTGGAAGTAAAAGTGTGATAAAATAAAATTCAAACTCGTAGGAATATAGCATAAGAAATAAATAAAAGAACACAATCTCAACTGGTGGAACACTTGGTTGAGAAACACTGGGTAAAAAGCACTCTCTTGAAAGGTTATCGAACATTATAAAACGTCAATCATTAAACATCTTTTGGTTTTTCCATGCTGGTACTTCATAAGCCTCGGCTTGAGTTCAGGCCTAAGATTTTATTTCAGTGTACACAAATGAAGACCCCATATCCTTCAATAGCAGTCAAACTTTTTTTTTTTAATTTTACTGTGGCAAATTATTAATGTGGAACTGTGTCGTTCTTGAGAAGTTAACAGTTGCTTAGCTGGTCAAGAAATTCACCATATTTTATGGATCAGGAAGAATTGTTACTTGCTAACATGTGTCCGTCGCTGGATCCTGCCCAGATTTAAATGAATTCAGTCTACATTGTCACATCTTACGATTTTTAAAATCGATTTTAATATTGGCGTCACATCTTCGTAATTTTATTCATCTTTCATTTTCCTGATTTATTTTGTGTCTTAATCCCTTACTCTCTCCCTTTTGTTTATCCTTTTCACACTTTTACCTCATTCAATCCTTTCTTCCGCCGTCCTTACAAATATATTTCTACTTAGAACAATAAAAATATAACCAGTATCATTATTTTATTTTCGTCATCAATGAGAGAAGTATTTCTAAAAGGTATCTAATGGTAGCAGCACATATGATATAACACCCTGCCATCTGGCATCATTACTGGGAACATGGTCAGTCATGCATAACATATAGTCACTTACCATAAACCGTATTTTATTATTTACTGTAAATAATTTGAATAAAGAAAATCTTCTCAATTTTTAAATTAGTGACAAAAATGGTGGAGGAAAAAATAAAATTAAAAGAGTAAAATATGAAAGGAGAGAAGGAATGCATTTTTTGTCCGACTTCTGAAACGAAAGTGTCACATCCTTATTTATTTCCAAAGGAATTTTTAACGGAATTAAGCCTCAACTAAAATTTATAATCTGAGGCACATTTTGCACGAGTACAATTTCTCCCTCCCCTGACTGCAGTGCGATGCCTGATAGCGGCGCTTCTACCCTAATTGAAGGGAGCGCCGTACGGTCAGGAAATGGCGCAGTCTCACGGCACAGGCGCTAATTGCCCCCGGGACACGGAAAATTCAGTCCAAGAGGTCTATTATAAAACTATTAAGTATACGGTAAGTTATTTTAAAAAATTAAAACAACTATAAAATGTGCATTCAATAACAACATTCTCTGACTATCATCTACAAGGTATTAGGGAACGTATCAGACCAAGTGGACTTTTAAGTTGGGCCATATCAGGGAACGTAAATCGAGACACGAAACAGTTTAACCCTTTGAAACACAAAGTTCATCTAAATTATACTTAAAAATTCAGTTCCTACCTAAAAAAATCACAGCACTTCACCATTACAAACTAATTGGCTAATTCCGTAAAGAAAATTATTCCTACTTGTTTTTAGAATTATACGAAACCCATAAATAGCGCACAGAATTCGGTCACGTTGCCTGGAAGACCATGAGGGCACCAACCCGTAGCTTAGCATCGTCAGTTCACATCTGATATGGATTTTTATGCGGCGTGTACAGAGGATCCAGTATAAGACTTAGTAGCTCTGCTGTGGGCATAATCGGTCTCATATGAAATTCAGTTTTATCTGCACGCACGTGTAAGCACAGAATCCTCAGGCTGTTCGTATTACAAGGGGCCACCGGTACCTCGGCAGCAGATGACGTGGGAGAGATAGGGCCTTTCCACGGACAGATGTGCAACAAAAGTCTCGAAGTGATGGTTGCGTAAACACAGTGTTCCTTTTCGAATCAACACAAGAAGAAAGCTGTACTCCAGCTTCATGTTATGTCTTTTCTACATAAGATTTTGACTCTCTTCTGGATTGTTCCGCCATCTAAGAAGACAGCCTAAAAATTATTATTCGCCGTAAGGACCTAGCACAAATGTAGGTTTAGTGAGATCAGGAATATTATTTTACTCAGTAAACTCTTTAACGCCCAGTGGTACCTATATTTACCATCTCATTTAACGCTTAGTAACTCTATATTAAAGCGTAGTCCTGGGGTTCTTATGATTTTCGGAATAAACAGGGATTATTTCCTTAAATACCATTAACCAAATGGTGCACAGTTGTGTTTTCTTCGAGGTACGGGCAAATTTCTTAAATATTATGTAGATGAGCCTCGGGCTTCAAAGATTCGTCTATCAACTGCCTGGATGACCAATTTTTGGTAACGGAAAATGAATAGGACTTTTGTCCTTTCGCCAATATGTCCAGACCATCTCCAGAACCTTCTCGGGTTCCAGTACAATTATTATCGGTGTCGGCGGAATAGTGGCCGAAGCGTGAAGGTGACCATCTAGTGACGGAATTAAGAACTACGTCTGCTCGGGGTGGTGATTAGACAGCATTGGATAATTATTGTTGTAAAACGTTGTCTTTATTGTGATTTATAAACTGGGGTCTAAATTTTCTTGTCATAAATTTCTTCCTTATAAATGTTTTTTTATACAAGACACGTAAAATATGATTGTTTCGAGAAATTATGTTGGACCTATAGAGATACAAAATAGAATGAAATCAATATTGCAAACAAAACAATAATCAAATATGTGCTAGTGCACTGACACAAACTGAAGGCTAGTGAAGAGCCAACTTTCGAAACGTCCATTATATTAAATGCACCTCAGGTAATGGATAATATTCAACACAAACTGCGGTGTAATATATTAACAACTGTCGCAAACTTTCAGAGGAACGTCAGATATTAACATAATTTACTTTCTGTTCTCTCTCACGTCATAATTTCTTCAGTAACAAACGGTGACATCAAAGCATGTCGTGAGGAAAGAGTTACTTGCATTGACTTGTATTTCAGGTCGTAAGCACACGGTACCTAGACTGTCATTAAGGAAGATTGAGCTTCTAATGGGATTAGATTTAATGATTAATTGTTTTGAATTAATTTACATTCTTCTCGAGAAAGTTTTCACAGCGGGAACTTGTATTCGGATGGAACCAGGTTCGAGTCCTTATGTAACAGATTTTATGACAAAGTATTTATCTAGTAGTTTATCTAGAGAGATATCTATTGTTAAAAATTATTTGACGTTTCGACAAACATTTTAGTTGCCATCTTCAGGGTGAATCTGTAACGTAGGGCGTTTGGTCCAGAGTTAGGCTTTACGTAGCTGATCGGAGGAGGTAAAAAGCGGCAACTGCAATTTTTGCGGAAATGGATAATTTTCAGAATCCGACGTCATTCAGCCCTGAATGCCAAAGTTGTACACAAGCCGCGAAAATCTAATGACGAGAATTATTTACAGTTGACACGGAAAGACATCTTCCGAAAGCTTTTCATACAAAGGGCAAGTGACAACAAACCAAATTTTTAGTTTAGTACTAAATTAAAGAAGGAAATGCGATTACTGGAGGTAGTTCGTTCAGCGTGTAGACTCCACACGCAATCAGACATGGCACATGAAAAGTACAATTAACACACTTGGCTTCCTTGCGTCGCACATTATACCTTTACTAGAAGACAGAACAAGCAGAGGCCAGTCCTAATTATTACTTACAAGACGGCAAATGTTTGAACAAAAGGTGAAGGAAGTTTTATTATAATTATTTTATACCTGTGTATTCGTACGTGAACACATTTTTAGTTGATGAATTGGTGGAGAGAAATCTATAATTTGCTTCCCTCCTTCCTCCCTTCGACTCTACTGCAGAAACAACACGTAATATTTATTTTTCTCTCAGTTCGGTACAAACAAAAAGGATCAGTCCGCTGTTGATCCACTGCAGAATACCTTATCGACAACGTACAGTCCGTACACCATGAGAAGTCCGCTGGGAAGTAGACGACGGTGAGCTCATTGCGCAAACGCGCTCGCAATCTGTCTATTCCTATTCCAAATGCATTATACTCCAGCAGTGCAGTGCATTGTGTAATCGAAGAGTGTTAGGGTGGTCACATGTTTTGTGAAAAGAGTATATTGTAGACGCTCATAACCCTCTCCCGGCGGACTTATCATGGCGCGCGGACAGTACATTACACACAACACGTTGCTTTCAGAACAGTGGCGTCATAACAGGGAAATCAACATATCAGATAAAATATTACATTCGTTCTGGGTTAATTACATTTATGTTAAACCACGGTTCTAGTTATAAATACAAATCACAAGTTCCACCTGCTTTAAAAATTGGTATTGACAAAGACTATTCTCCAACAATGAATGAAGTTGCTACTTACTAAAACAGAAGTGCTGTCTTATGCAGGCTGGTACCAGAAGAATTAATTGTCTGTCATCTTCCGCGCAGACTGCAGACATGCGTCCATGCGTGAAAACCTGCGATAAAAAACAAGAAGAAATTGAAGCCTAAAAGTTATACTCAGAAATACAATGACGCTAGAAGCCAAGTAAATTTAAGATGGCTGTACAATAAACTCGAAATGGATGCAGGCTTAAGACCATAAATTGTGACGTATGGAAATCATGTAATGGAAGTACAGGGCAGACAGATATATATATATATAACGCACAATACAGATACATGGACGGTATACAATGTGTCCTGTAAACAAATTAAATTTTCGTAACGTGTTAGAAGGAGCCTTCTTACAAATATACGAAAGAGATATTTCGCTCAGAAAGCTTAGTTCATGCTAAAAAGTCTATTATTTGACTATGGAGGTAAATTCTTCTACTACAGCTTGACAAATCTGATAATGGCTTTCTGGTATTACAAATTAGAAACCAATACGAAGATATAAAACTAGATGGACCTTTCTCTAAATCAGTAATTAACGTGCTGCAAGATATTTAGTGAGAGACTTACAGATAAGCAAGTGGTCAATGAAAGTCCCCTTTTAAGGTACCCGAAGCTCAATGTATCAAAATAAATCTCTACACACAAAAATGCTTAGAAAAAAAAATGCAGCCAGTGAATAAAATTAACTTTATTACGTATAATTCTGTTTTATATAAAGCTAAGGCCTTCCGAACTCTTTTTACTCTGAAGCTGAGGGGGAATCGATTTCATGTTCTTGCCTACTGGCATTTCCATGTCAGAAGAAAAGTTGACATCGGAACATTTATGTCAATAAACATTACTAAATTATGTAAAATGTAGGATTTGAGGTTCTCACGGCGATTAACATGAAGATGGCTGTCTTCTGGGTTGTAGGGGTATGTAGTCTGGTAAAGGTTTACTTACGTTTCAGAGAAACTTTATTCTTCCATCATCAGGGCGAAGGACTGAAATGCATCTTGGAAAAAATCTTGGGAATATTTGATGTGATGTGAAATTAATTCGTGTGGTTTATAAAATAGGGTTCAAACGAACAGTGACGAAAATAATTTAAAATGTTCTGATTTTAGTGATAGGCTGAGTAACCACAACATTTCACTTTCCAAGAAACTGTGTAATTGTTTAACATTCTTCAAACACCACGCTAAATTAAATTCTAGAAGCGTGAGTGAATGCAGAACTCGATTCTTCAGTAGAAAGTCGAGGCGAACAAGTGCGTGGTAATGACGCGAAGTCACACTTGCAGGTAACAAGAAGAGGAGGAGACAGACCTCGGTATGTTTGGATTGAAAAGTCTACAGCTGCCGCTACTTCTGAGCAGACTGTCGATAACACGCCAGATTCCCACCAAACTGCGTGCCCCTGTAATAACACGGTCTTCGTCCCCCACCACCGCCACCCTAATCACCTTTATCGCGTGTTTTAGATTTCTTGAGATTATTACGTTTTGATTGACTATTGTTTCTTCTTATGATCACATATCGAAACAAAATTTTAATTGTGTTCGGTGTGGAGTGTTTTTTTTTTTTAAATTTAAATTCACATAAATCACTGCGCATTTCTTTTCGATAATTACAGATTACAAATTTGAATTCCAGTGTCGAGGAAAGACGAAACGTAATTTTATCTTTCAATTGCCTCAACAATCAGCATTTGAATCGATGAAATTCAACTGTAGATTAGCAAAATACGTTTTCTTTCAACCAACTGTTGTTGAGATTTAAATCGGTATCCCTGAATTTTAAAATCTTAAGAATTTTATTGGTATATTGATAAAAAGATAAAAATTCAGGTAGTTTCAGTTCTGAGACAATAATCACGAAGACGACTTTGTTTTGACCGCTGTGAACACCTCAAATCATACCTAAATCATCTTTGTTTCGTCTGAAACACTGTACAGTGCTTTCAGATAATCCTATAAAGCTCATTATGAATTCAACTTTCACTGATCAGAAAGCAATTTCCGGTGCATAAAAATGTCTTGGCAATCATAAAATGAAATATTTAGAGAAACGCTGAGTTAACAACATGCCATTATTGCAGGGATTTAAAATAAGAAGACGGCAAGCTTTGTAGTTTTGTATCGTTTATTAAATTTTGATTTCCCATTGTTTCTCTTGCATTGGAATGTACACATGAAACTCAACGCGCAGACCTACTATTATGGAAACAATTTCTCATACTTCAATGATCATGCTCATGAAAAGGAACGAAAACTGAAGACAGACTACATCACAGAGCCCTAGGGGGCGGTAAACTGCTTCAGTAGATTGTAAGAAAGGTAATTTAGCGCATTTCATAATAATATGAAAAACATGACATTCACAATAAGTCGTGGATTTCTTTGTTATTGTCTCATCCACTTTTAAAAATACTATATATAGTAGCTGTGACCAAACTGCATTATTCAAGGTCACAGTAAAATCATACAACGTTGCAGCGAGAACAGCAGAGCCCAGACGAGTAAAGACAGCTCAGAACCCGTAGCGCAGCAACATTTTCAACTCTGTAAGGAGTTGGGGTGGGATTGCTTTCCATCCATACATGGTCTTGAAATATAACACTGTAGAGCACAATGGATGACTACATGGGTTCCTTTGAAACTAACTGTCGCTCAGCTGGTCAATAAATACAAACGACTTTCATAATGAGACTCAATGATTTATACCCGTCTTAACAAGATCGCGGCAGTAAATCATATTCTGAGACACAGAAATCAAATCTACAACCTTACACATTAGTTTTTTTTTAAACTTATTTTAATATTATTCTACAATCTAAGCTAAAGTCTACCAACTTGTCTCAACTGTTTAGATTTTCTGACTAAAATTTAATGAATCAGCAACAAAAAGTTAAAATTACAAGTTACTGAATAAAATTATGTATCCTGATCTACAACGTGACGTAAATCTTTTTTGGAAAAATATCTGACTTTCTTAGCGCAAAGCGAACCGAAACGAAATCTTTGAAGCTCCTGATGACCGGCTGGAATAAGCTAGAAAGAATTGCTTGGTTTTTTTGTGTCGTTTGCATTTGGTTGATCCCCAATGCTGTGGGAGTCATCAAAGTGTTTGACATACGGGGCGCTGACTTCCGCAGACAATGAACAAGGGTAGGCACATCGGAAACTGTTCCCGAACTGTCAGGCTGTAAGAATACAGAAATTCGCCAGTCACTTTTTGTGCAGAGCATTACATTTGCTGTTTTTGTAACACGGTATATCGATAGCAATGTCGATTCGGAAAAGAAAATTGCAGACAACTAGGCTAATCCTTTTCTTGCTGCGAGTAAGATATCTCAAGCAGAACCACTGCCTTTTCACATTTGGAATCATCTTGTCTCTGGGATCAATAAAAGAAGCGGTTAAACAAAATTATTCCTGGATCTTTAAGCATAGATACTTCACGTCACTATGGAAACATATACAAAAAATGTTGATATTGGTCTCATGCGCTGTGACGGATTTCGACTTAAAGGTAGATACAAGCTTTTCATATTCAACACCGAAGATGTTCTTCCGAGACACTTATCTAACTACGCGACGTCACAACCTCTCAAACTTGGCATGAGAGAAAAAAGTTTTCTTGAGTGTGTTAAATATCAGACACCCTGAAAATGGAGCGAATATATTTTGAATTGAAAATAAATAATTATCCTAAAATTTTCCACAGTTTAAACTGTTCACGCTTTTATGAGGAGGCCGTTTGTTAGACAGGTCCTTGTTTCATGGTAGACCTACCCAACGAATCTCAACAAATGTTGTGATCCAACCAATCCGTTTTTATGATCCACCCTCCACAATTATTAGTGTAGACCTGCAAAGTTTCAGAAGAACCGTCTATCCTAGATAATTCTCAGACGACTAGTTTGATCAAATGATACGATCGTGGGTATTTACAGACTGTCAGTGGCACTAAGACCTTACCAATCCATCTTCAATCCGCTTATACACCATTCGTCAATCGTGTGTGGTTAAGCTTTCCTCGCTATTTAAGTACATCTGAACACAAAAGCAATCATCATTACGAGATCCTTACAAACACTCGCTCTCAAACAATACAATAAGAAAAACAACACCATTTATTGTCTGGCTAATGATAAGGACGAAATTTATTTATTTATTTAATTAAAGTTTTATATATTTTTGTCTTCATCTACAAAACCGTAGGCTTGCTAGTTGGCAAGTATGCAAATTATAGCATAAGCAAAGGTATTTTGTAGCACGACGTTGGTAGCCATGTCAAAAGTTTCCAAATAGGCAATAAATAAACATTCATGAGTTTCGCAACTGTCCGTGCATTAAAAAGTTCTTAATAACAGAACTTAAACACAGACAAACAGTGAAGACGACATTTCCTACCTCGCATCTAAAGTTTATACAGTCATAACTCGATCACCTGTATCTCGTTTGTGCAACTATGGTATAACGCGTGTAAAAAAGAGAATTAATATAAGAAAATTTCGTGATGTCCATCTTAACACTTACCCCACCTAAACATTAGAACTCGACAACTATTTTCTTTTTTACGATGGGGAGTCAATGACTTTATGGGTCTGCGGCCCAGCCCCAGATGATACAGGGGAAAATATGGAGCAGCGGTGGAATGATACGTACAGGGTAAGACGAAAGGACTCGGAGAAAATCGTGCTCTAGTGCGACTCTGTCCACCACAAATCCCATACGGACTGTCCGGTGAGTGAACACGGACCTTCACGGTGAGAAGCCGGCAACTAACCTCCTGAGTTATGGCACAGCCCTAAATTAACACTCGGTAAGCACTCTAATACTACACTTTTGCTGTAATGGCGTAGACACTGTGTTAAGATGGCAGTGTGGAAAGTTGCAAACCTGTTAATCGATTTGTTTTTCCAGCGCTAGAAACGAGAAACGATGAAATGGGATTATCGAGGATTTGTGCTGTTGGTCTGGAGCTTTAGGACATAAATCCCACAGACAAAGCATATTCATTGGTAGATCAACAAAGTACAATCCCACCAAATAAAGTCTGCTTATTTCCACTCATGTTTGCACA